AGATTGACGTACAGCCTTGGTTTCTTTAGTAGGGCGTCCCGAGCGAGGAGCATCTTCAAGGTGAGCGTTGCAGATAGTAATAGGTTGTGAGGCGTTGTATTCAAATCCTCTCTTGATAGCTTTGGCATATATACTTCGAACAGTAGACTCAGGAAGGCCTGTAAGGTAACAGACCTCACTATTTGACTTTCCTGCAACGGATTTAAGAGTAACAACAAGTGCACGAGTAGCGATATCATGATTAGGAGCCATATTGAGCTAATCTGATTGAGAATCACTGAAAAACAATGAATATGAGGGGCTCCAGGAAGGCCACGTCGAAACACCAAATGCCAAGACCTGCGGTGCGTCAGTGCGCTGCCTACCCCTGTCGCGAAGACTTTTGACGCGCTCCTCCGTAGTTGGGTACTCGACTAGGACATGCACTGTAGTGGATGATACTTCAACCCATCCCTGTTGTTCAATCACCCACCTCGCAGCCACATGGAAAGCATCCTGCAATGCTACAATGATTTTATGAAAACTATGTGCTGGCTACATCCATGGCTTGACATGGGTAATATTGTACTTTACAAAGTCATCTTCGTTCACAAATATACCCTAGCCACATCCAGATAAGGCAGGCAAAACGATACCGGTCGGTTGGGTCGAGCAAGCAATCCAAAAGCTTGTAAACCATCTCAAGCAAATGGACTAAATCTGAACCAATGGGAATAGAACAGAAAACATCCCCGCGCTTGCGGCGGCTCTGGTTAGCATAAAACAGCAATGCCCGATCTGACGAATCCAAAGACGCAACATGCGGGAAAAAGAAACTCCGACCTTGCACCAACAACGATGTTGAGCCACGACATGTGCAGCCTATGTATATGCATTCAGTGAATACTATGACTCATCAGTATCAGTATGAATAACATTGTCAAAACAAAGGAAGACTGGATGAAAACTCATCTGTCCGCACCCTGTGAATACACGTGCATTCGTCTAGATGTCTAGCACGGTCAATAGTATGAGAAAAACACACTTGACATCTTCTCTCTGTATCACGTACAGAGACATGCAGGCGCAATATATCCTAAGACGATCTACATATCGTCAGCAACGTGCCTTGAAGGCGTTTACGCCTTGGACCCTGCATGCGACACTGAACCATCTGTATGCAGCAGATGGCTGGAAAAACTTCCCATCAAATGATATAATGACCCCAGGATATCTCATCATTGAGAAGAACAGCTCAAAGAAATGTGTTTTCTCACTCCCTTCTCAAGAACTCCTCTTGCCATATGGCTCAAAGGGAAACACTGCCGCAACACCCGCCATGACAATGTATAACGCCGCGCAGATATATATTGGCACCGCAGTTCCAGTCTAGCATTTCATGTCAGCAAGCCCACTCAAATTTTTTCAAGGAAGGGAAAAAACAAACTCACATCAGCAACAGTAGCGATAACCGCGCTCAAAATGCCCATGATGCGATTGCATCCAATCGCAATACCATTTCCAGTCCCTCGATCATGTGAGGGCAAAACCTCCGGTGTATATGCGTAAAGTGTGCCATAATAGACGTTGAGACAGAAGTTGATAATGCACGTGAAGGCAACATTCTGCGTCGCGGTGCGCACCTGCGTGTAGGCGAAGAAAAAGGTCATGGTCACCAACGCCCCAACCACCATTGTGTACTTCCTGCCCAGCCGCGTCTCACACATCCAACCCGCCAGCACAGGGCCCCAGATACCGCTAAAGTTGACGAGCGTGTAGTTGCGCCACGTGATGTACGGGCTGGGCTGTCCAAATGCGGCGCCGCGCGAGGCCAGGTACGCGGGTAGGAAGACGTTGTACAGCGGGTACGCAAGTCCAATCAGTGTCCAGGAGAGCCAGATGAGCGAGGTGGAAATGCCAATTCGCCTCGTCGCATATAGACCGCGGACATGCATAGCAACCTCTCCAAATCCCCATTTGCTCTTTCCCTGTCGTGCAGCCGCGCGCTCAGTGGTGCCGCAGTCCTGCATCATCTGCAGTGTGAGGCTACAAGGTCGATTGTATTTCTCTGCAATATGTTGCAGAATCTCCACACATTCCGCATCTTTGCCTTCGCTGACGAGAAATTTCGGTGTTTCCTGCAGTCTAATGACCGTGATGCGCAGAATGGACATGACCAGGACGAGCGAGCCAGACGTATACCACACGTAGCGCCAACCTTGATTATTGGCCTTGGTACACGGTGCAGCGGACGGATCGGTTTCAGGATCCGTACAGCTAAAATTCGGAATAAACCCCCAGGCCAGGAATCCCGCAATGAGTTGTCCGATGCCTGTTGTTGTTTTTTTCAGATTAGTTACCATCCACATTCAGCTCTCAACTCATTCACCATAAAGAGACAACATACCCCACCAACCCGCCATAAGTGTAAGCATCCACTGCCTGTTACTCGGCAAATACTCCAAGAACACCGCCGTATCAAGTACGAGGTTTCCTCCCGCCCCAAACGCACTCAAACACACAAATAAGCCCAGAACCTCCCAATTCGGACTTGCCCCCGCTACAATCGCAAACACAGAGCAAATCAGCAAGCTAACATTAAACGCAATCTTGCGCCCCATAATGTCTGCTGTTAGTCCCCAGAACAGCGCGCCAACAAGCATACCAACATAGGCAGCGATGGTCAGACCATTGGCGTAAGAGGGTGAGAATTCCAGGGCGGCTTGGCCGGCGATGATAGATTGGATGAGGAGAATGAGGGAATCAACTGCGTAGCCGAAGCCGTTGAGTACGAATAACTATTTTTTTTCTCTTTCGTTATTCCCCCATTAAGAATTTTTTTGTCATCTCAAAGTTAAATGCAAAAGGGAAAATTTACCTTCCATTGATACGTCGTAAATCCAATCTAATAGTTACACCATCATTAGTACAATCTCTCTGCTCTCTTCCCGTACTTCAACTCACCTCATCAATAGCATTGTTAACAAGATGCATCTTAGCATTCAGCACTGGATCCGTATGCTCTTGCTGCAAAATGTCGTTTTTGCCCAGACTACTCGTTTCGCCGTACGTCTGTAGTACATCATCATCCCCTTGCTCGGCATCTCGCTCCTCGTGCGCTGTTTTCATTGGTTCGTCCATCTTTTGCATCTAACATATACACATGCATTATATGTGTGACACAATCTGTTTTACAAACGCACGCGCGCGTGTAATGTGTGTATGTGCGTGCGGATTTGGCGGTTTTATCCTTGAGCGCAAATGCAAGGTGCAAAGAATGACGAATGCAGGAAATCAACCTACAGGAACGGAACTGGGTGGGTATAGTAAGATGTGAAAGAGGAGCGGGGGAAAGAATTTTGCCATTCAACCCGGGGGGGCTTGGAGGCCATCGATGCGCAAGTCGCTTTTGTACTGCGACCTTGCATCGAATGCAACGTCTGAACCTGCCCGCGAGCATCGTTGCGGCCCTGTGGTTGGCTGACACGATAAGCGGCCCTATCTGACAGGGTAGAGATTGAGCCGATCCGTCTTGGATCTCTTGGTAAAAAGCAAACCATACTGCAGCAAGCAAGGCGCTAGTACATCTGCCATGGAGATACACGGTAATCCTTCCGGACTTCCTCCCTTCCTCGAAGCCTTGCAATAAATACTTGATTATGTATCTGCTTTCATTCTGGCCCCGTAGCTCCAAACATGGCCGTGCATACCTTCGTACAGTGAACTCTTATTAAACAAATAATGACTGTCAGACAACGCCCAATATGTGGAAAAGCCCCATGTCCACGTTGCTCAAACTCAGCGTCGTGGCTGATTGCGCAATCCTGGCCCATGTCCCAAACGCCGTGCTAGAGAATCGCTATAAGCAGTGCAGAAGCTTTAGAAAAGGAAATTCAACCCGGCAAACAATTACTATTGACCAGGTGTTTGCTCCTCCTCGGTGCTCGCAATCGCCTCCTCCCCCTCCATTGTCAACTCAACAGGTGTTGGCGCAATTCTCCGCCTCTTGTTCTCTCGCACGTCTTCCGTCTCAGCCTCTGCGACAGGGTTGAGATCTCGTTTCTTAGACAGTGCTGCTCCATCGTCACGATCGCATTCGCTCCTTTCGCTCTCTCTACGTCCGACCTGGCCAACGTGTGGAACACCACTGACTGAGCTACTGGCGCTATGCGACCCACCCTGACCATGAGCAGGGGTAAGAGGCGGTGTCCACATAGGAACCGGCCCAGAGTTAGCTGCTGCAATGCTAGGCACTGACGACATGACTGGTGTTGGTGCATTCATGTTGCTTTGATCTCCCGCTCCAGGAGCAAAGGACGAGGCTGTAGCGATACTAGACACTGAGTTACTTCTTGTTGGACTGCCTGGTCTTGCGGGAACAAAAGAGCTCGGAGATGCTGGGAAACCTGCAGATGGTTGTCTTTGCATTGGAGGTGCTGTTGCTGTCGCTGTTGCTGACATGCTTCCAGTCGTCGGCGTAGGTGTTGGAGTGGAATGATTGGATGCCTGGCTGGCCGCTGTGTTAATGGCGGCAGGTACATTTTGCTGTCTGTTATGGACAGCCAATGGTCCTGTGTACTTTTCACCCAGTTCTCCAGGAGCGAATGTTATCGAAGAGCAGAAACCATCCGAGGATGTCATGAGCAGCATGGATCCATCGTTAGACCTTTGAAAGTGTCAGCAATTTTCTAAATTCAATGGTCTTTATATTTCTTACCAGGTGATGTCTGTAAAAGTAGCAAAGTGCAAGTTGCTAACTATGCACAGCGGCTTCTGCTGCTGCGTATCGTAAATGTGGATGGCATCTTGTGTTGCAACAGCATAAATCATGCGATAAGGCAGCGTAAAGGCAGACACAGGCCCAGCGGGCGGCGCGGTTGGTGCAGATGCGTCGTTCTCATTAGGCTTGGGCGATGGTGCTGAAACGCTTGGTGAGGGTGACGGGGCACTTGTAATGGGCGGCGGGTCCATTGATGAATGCGATGTCGGAGGCTTTGAGGGCATGACGGGCTCAGGCAGAGAGGGGATCTCATCGTCCATGTTGGAGGTGTCAATGGTGATTTGTCTTGTCGGAGGAGCCGTCTGACGTAGGGTGTAGTACACAGGTGAACAACGCACAGCAACCGAAGGCTTCTTGTGACCCGGTAAATACGCTACTGGAGGCTTGTTCAGACCGGCCCTAGTGTAAATGTAGACGGTGTTGGTAATGTCCTCCGCCGGCTTCGCCTCGCCTACAGACGGGTGCAGTGCCTTATATTGGCCTGCCGGAGTGAAGAGCAAGCTTCCATCTGGAGCAAACGTAAGGCGTCGAAAGAAGGATGTGAGTGTCTCGTTGAAGTAGATGGGTACGTTCCGGATTCCAGTACCGATACTACCAATGCTGGGAGAGTTGGGCATGACAGCGGGCAGGGGCATAGATGGAGCTGGCGAAGCAGAGCGGCGCATGGAGGGCGAGGAGCCAAATGACGAGCGACGGCTGTGTGAGGTTGGCGGCGGGTGCATGGTCGGCAGGGCGAGCGATTGTGGTGTGCCAGGCATTGAGGGCACAGGCGAGCCGATTGCCAGTGAATCACCTACGAATGAGGCACGGCCACCAAAGTCGGGTGGTGCAGGGCTATTCGAAGATACTCGTCGTGCGGGCAGGTCCATCTTGGTGACCTTGCTGTGCTGGGCCAGGGAAAATTGGCCGTCCTTGTTCTTCAGTGTGTAAATGTGTACAGATCGGTCGGACGATTGCGTCGCAATGTACTCGTTCATTGGATCCCAAGCCACACCTTGGACATAGTGGTTGTGCTCAGCAATCTGTCGCACAATGGTTCCTAGAGGTTATTGAGCAGCTGTGGGGAGAGTGGCGCAAGGGCAGATGTCGTACCAGTCTGAGCGTTGTAGATGCGGGCAATGTTGTCCATGCTGCCCGTGATGAAGAAGACACCATCTGGCGACCAGGCAAGGTCGTAGATTTCGGAGCCTATAGATCTACACATGGCCTTGACTCGCCATGTCTCCTTGTCCTCGAGGCCTTCCTCGAAGTTTGTGTGTGTTGTCTGGTTCTCGGCAGGGACCCAGAGCAGGACATTGCCGTCGTCACCGGCGCTGGCCAGCATTTCGCCTGTACATGTTAGCCGTGGTGCGCGCATGCTGGATTGGCTTGGAAGTACCGCGGGGGCACCATCGTACTACGTTGACGGCTTGTGTGTGCTTGACGAGCGTCGACAGATACGTAACCTTGCGCTCTTCGCCATGCGTCTCGACGCTCCAGAGCTGTAGTTGGTGTTAGCGGATGTTGGCGGCTAGTGTGTGGTGGCATAACGCACGCGAACATTGTTGTCTCCGCCAGCAGTTGCTAGACGGCCCTTTCCATGTGGCTCGAAATGGGCAGAGTAGATCGGGGCGTTTTCATTGTGCCAGGAGACGAGGAGAGGAGCAGCCTTCATGTTGGACCAAGATGCGGCTGCTCATGGGCCGTGTCAATGGCGAGGATGTCGTGGATACAGGGCCAGGTGCGAACCAGTGGGTAGAAATTACAGCGAGGGCGAAAATGTTGGTGATAGTGGCAGTGGTAGTAGTTGTGGTTGTGGTGGTGGTGGTGTGAGACTATCAAACGGGTTGCTAGGCTGTTTGTTGCTGGGGACCAGGGTTTGGTAGTTGGTGGTCAGGATCACGATGGGCTCCGGAGGGTCGCGAGCAGTGGATTGTGGTGGATTGATGAAGGCAAGGCTAGAGCGAGGGAGCCAATGTTTTCTTTATCTGACTGCAGATCACAAGAGGTGGTCGTCAAGGCATTGCTGGGCCTGGGGGTGGTTGGCGCCATGTCTCTAAGCCGCCTGCACATGGACACCAACACGAACCGGGCAGCGCGAACGTTCCGCGTCTCCGGCTAGCCGCCTTGGGAACCCTAATTGACTAGTTTCACCGTCATACGGCCCAGGCACAACACAACACAACACAACACCCTCGCTGCCAGCTAGTCATTCGCCCTCCAAACACCAAGACGAAGAAGACAAACAACGCCTATTCTGCATGTGCATGTGCAAGAGTGTGTGCATGGACAGACACACACGTGCATCCCTTCTCTACCCGCGGGAACCTGTCCTGCTGCCAATGCAAACACCCCGAGCATGCTTGAGCGTCCATTCACCCCGGCCACGGCAAGCCAAAGATGAGACACAAGCGAGATACGGGCCTTGCTACGACGCCACTTATGCACTCTACTTACACTGACCATGTTTCTCATCAATTATGCGGCATGCACTATCGCCCGTCGTTCTGCCACCCATCGTCCATCCATCTTCAGGTGCAGCCCGCGCACGGGCCCCGGTGGATCGGGATCGCGTCACGTCTCCGGCGCAACCACTACACGGTGGAGTCGAGCAGCCACAACACACGCCCACCCATTGGCTCCCACCCTGCAAGAAAAGCCGAGAAAAAGGACCGCACACTCCCGCTAACCCCTGGACTGCCTGCGGGAACCACCACAATCTGCCCATTACATAGTACGTACGTGAATACGTACTTGCCTGGTAGAATTTTCCGCTTGTCCTCAGCATGGCGGACCAAGGACCCACCCGCCTTGAAACCGAGCTCGAGCTACTACAGGCCATGTATCCCGACCAGACACACTACAACCCCAACTCCCGCGAGTTAAAGTTCACCAATCATGGCCATTGCTCCTTCCTTCTTCGCTTACCGGAGACGTACCCCGATTCAGGATTTCCCGACATCATCTCTGCAACTGATGCGGCCAAGAATGACTTGCGCCTACGTCTGAGAGAAGCCGTAGCGGAGTTGACACTACTTGAGGGAGAGGAATCACTCGATGCCATTGTTGCGACCTTTGAGCGTCTCATCGAATCTGCTTCTTCGCATCTGAATCAACCACAAAATGCCAGTGCCACTTCTGATACCCCAAAAACAACCATCATATGGCTGCATCACCTTCTCAACACCAACAAGCGCAAACTTGCCCTCTCACCCCCATCCTCATCACCTCCCGTCTCGGGTCTCACTAAGCCAGGCTATCCAGGCGTCCTCGTCTACTCGGGCCCATCCCTAGCTGTCACCGAGCACGTCAATTTGCTAAAGGCCCAAAACTGGCAAGCCTTCCAGGTACGCTACGAGGAAGACGAGCTTTGGCACTTCGCACATGGTACAGGTGTCAAGGAAGTCGAGACCATGAGCGACATTGTAAAGGGCGTCGAGACACAAAACAACACAGCCAACGAACAAAGGGATAAGCTGCTCAAGGCCCTTGGTATAAAATAAAAGTGCATTTCGAGCCCGTACTCGGCACAGCGAGGAATGAAGGGAAGATTTCTTGCCGGCTGATGTCCAAGAAACCCGGGATCACGGTAACCGAAATGATCCGGACATTGCAGTAGTGCTGCTGATCATGGACTACATACACCGCAACATGGGGTTGCATACGAACCTAACGTTTGATACCTCAGCTGAGCCTTTCTATTCGTCGTATACGTTAGGGCAGTCAACCATGTACTCGGTGGGAAATGAACTGATTTACCCCGACAAGGTCCTTAATAAATCCGCCAAGGAAAGAAGCCTAGCCCAGCTTGGAGGAGCTAGTCTTATCAACTCCCTAATCAGCTTGTCAGCGCTATCCCACGATGTCAAAGGGCTTAGCTCTTGGCTGTCAGCGACCTGCGATGATAAATGGCCTGAGATTCAAGATGTCTATAACAAATCTCCAGACTGCCTGTGCATCCAATTTCAGAGACAGATATAAAAAGACTATGCTCCATGATAGAGTAATCTTCCTGAAGTATAGGGGTCCCTGCACTGTCTTGAAGCAGTCGACATTCAGCACATCGGGACGTATTGCCATTTTTCACATCTTTTCTACAAATATTCAATCGACTGTAGCTGTACTACTTTAAAACCCTTATAGCAATCAGACTTCTTAGCAATGGCATATGATCTTGTAGACGAAAATCGGGAACGACAATAGGAACTCTCAATGAATGATCCTGTTCCAGTGCAGAATTTGGCCAAGCTGATCTACGGAAGACAAGTCGCTGCAGCTGCAGAAATTAGAGGCATACTTGCAGCTGGTAATTTATCTAAAGCGTGATTATGGAAGTCGAGTTCCAAATTAGAAAGCGCCACCATGCAAGCCTCCCTCTCGCGCATCCTACACCATTTCAACAGCAAGTGAGTGCGTCCTGATGTTTTCATTTCAGGCTCCCCATACGACTAAACCCACGAATTCCTACCAGAATAATGACAAGGTTAAATGTACCAGCATGTAGTGCCAATATCAATTCCTGACATGGTGCGTTCATGTTTGTGGAAAGCCCTTGGAACAACCGGGTCACGTGGGGAGCTATTGGAAGCTACGTGCAAGGGCTGGCCTGCAGGAAGTGGCTTTGTATACTTTCTGGGCCGCGCCATGGAACCACTATCCCTTGTCTTGGACTCTTTCCGATTACATATAAGTGCTTTTCCGTTCCTGTTTGCTCCACGGCGGACGCGTCAAACACAAGAACCTCGCCAACTCATGAGACCAGCATTTTCCCCCTTGGCGGCTTGATATTCGATTGTTGTAGTGTACCGAGATGAAGCTCAATCTGCTGGAAGCAAGTCTATGTTATGGTATAAACGGGTGTAAGGTCAAGCTATGCAGGTGACAACTGCAAACGCTAGCGCCGATCTAGACCCTACCCAGTGGCTTGCGTCGCAATCATCACGTCTCTAACGAAGCTTAATCCAACATGAGCCCGCGTGCCGTGAAGCGGACGATCTGAGGCGTTGCCAAATACGGGCGTGGCTGCTTTGCGGCGCAGTCTAGGGCAGATCTAAAACCACCCATGGCTTGGTCTTATAACGATCTTCTAGTCTAATAGATGTAATCAGGTACTAGATTGGACATTGCTATTTAGTCTCCAGGTGCAGCTGAACTCCAACTTAAAACCGTCTCAAACATACACGAAGCCAAGGAAGTCAAGATCGAGCCAATCTGAGGTCAACAAAAAACCCTGAGCCTCCATGTTGATTGATTTGATCGTTGCTAGGGCGAAATATCGTTTCAACCCACCGGGGCTGTCATGAAGCCTTAATGCACACGCAGCCAATCTCGAACCCTCACATTACGGCTGCGATTGACATTTCCAAAGTCACATCTTTTTGAGGCACTGAGTTTATAGTATGAAAAGTGCTTAATGTCTAATGTAGATTCCTTCAGGTTGAATGCAGATAGTTTAGCATGCTTCCCTGCAAGAAGGATTCGGTGTAGTCAGGGCTGATATGTGTAACGGGATTTTAGTTCACGACTACCAAAGGTCGCGGCGTCAATCTTGTTCCATGGCTGAACAGATTATCTGGGTCGTATTTGTGTTTCAATCCTTCAAGTCGTTTCACATTCTCGCCAAAGATTTCGTTCGCTTCCACATCGGCATCTGTTTCCATCAACGTCAGAACAAGACTGTGCAAATAAGAGAAAGAGACTTAAGAGCTTTTGACAACTCCAGTTTCACTTACTTGCATAGTTGCCATACTGGCCGACTCCCCCGTCTTTTGAACGATCCGCAGCAGTTTCGGAAGCCTTCGTCAGGAGACTACGAGAGAATGTACGGATTTCAGTATCGAGTGTTGGGTCGAACCTTTGTATCATTAGTACAAACCTCGCTCTCACTTTCCATTCTACTCACCACTTGAAAACCGTCGCAACATTATAATAATCTCCCCGATTCGAAAACGACATCTGATCATTCGGCACCGCTATCACCTTCTTGTAAGGAATAATCTCGAACATCATCAGACTTTCATTCATTCTCTCGTGCGATGCGACAAATGTGTTAAATTCCGTATGCAGCTGCAAAACGAAATCCGGGTCCAAAGGAAGTTTGAAAGCGCCACCGCCAAATTGTTTGCGTCCGTCGAAGCCTGCAGTGGGGTTGAGCAGGCTGTTTAGCTTTTTGTAGGGAATCATGGATGTCATGTCTGCGATGGGACCGAGCGTAAAAAGGTCGGCGAAAAACGCTTTTGCCTCGTCTTGCGGACCATTGTAGAAGAGCTGGCAGAGAGCAACAGGAGCATTTGCAGGTGGAGGCGCTGAAAACCCCATCATCATGGCCTGATTCCCATCGTTCGTTTCGTGGAATTTGTTTGCGAATGCGACAAGCTGCGGGATCTTGTCTGGGAGGAATATCAGGGGTCCGGCGAAGATTTCATTCTTTTGGTCGTAGGCTTGAAAGGTGAATGCGGTTGTTACTCCGAAATTCTGACCTGCGCCGCGTACGGCCCAGAAGAGATCTTCGTTTGAGGTCGCGGATGCAGTGAGTTGTTCTCCGGACGCTAGGACGATGTCAACGGAGAGAAGGTTGTCTGGCGTCGTCAGTATTTAATCGTGATCACAGCCAAACTGGGTATAAAGCGTTAGGTATCAAAGGTGACTTACCAATCGTCAACCCATACTTTCCAGTAAGATACCCATATCCACCACCAAGCGTCAGGCCCCCCACACCAGTATGATTAACAGTACCTCCGACAGTCGCGAGACCGTACTTTGCAGCCTCGACATCGACATCTTCCCAGATGGCTCCTCCCTCAGCCGTGACAGTCTTGGCTTGAGGGTCTACAGTCACTTTGCGCATCTTGGAGAGATCAATCACGATTCCGTCTTCGATCGAAGCGGCGCCGGAAGTAGAGTGTCCGCCGCCTCGGACGGTGAAGGGGATGCCGTGTTGGCGGATCTGGGCGAGGGCTGCGGAGATGTCGTTGGGTGAGGTGACTAGTACGACAGCTGCCTGGGCTGTTGTAAGCCTGCAGATCCAAAAATATGAGAAGAAGAACGAAGTCGATACTTACAGCCCTCTTGATGCAATGTTCACTCCATCTTTCGATGCTTTTCTCGTACGCCGGGCCGTCACCGGGAAGCAGAACCTCGGCATTTGTATCCTTGAGTAGCTGCTTGAGCGAAGCGTAGTCAAAGCTATGAGGATTTGAGCCCATTTTCAGATTCCAAGGATACTTCTTATGACTTGAAACCTCGTGATGCAGTATACGGAATAGATATGTGGATAGACAAAGATGGATTGCTGGATTTCTGCAGAGAGGGATGTTGAGTTTTAGCTTGTTCCTCCGGTCAGATAACCTGTTTGATTAATTTATCAATATGATCCCACGAGTAGCCTTTTGGCAGGTTGGTTCAGTAAACAGAAGGACGCTGACGCGATGCCGGTGAGATGAGCGGGGCAATAGGCGGCTCTGTTCCGCAATCAGTTGACTGAGGGGCAATGAGTATTCAAATCAATTGCCGGATGCGTAGCCACTACTGCTGTGTTATCCCGAGTCACCACCGCACAGGTCTCTGGTCTACTTGGCGCATTACTGTATCTCTGGGAACATGTTACGAGAGGCAATTTCAGCTGTGTATGCAATGTCGGATACGAGGACCTCGCAGGTCTTCGGGTAGCGGCATTAGGCTGATTGCTTGATTTCGGTAGACTTGAATACTAATTCTACAATTTCAACAACAACATACTCAGAAATGTCACTTACAAGGCAATGGAAATGCGACACCGTAGTTGATGAAGGTTGCTGCAAATAGTAAACATATGATTGGACAAGTGGTGACGAACAAGGCCAAACTAGCGTGGACCCTGGAATTCGGTGCGGCGAACTTCTTTCTTTCCCCTAGCGGGCACGTCGCTCGTTAGCCACACGACGTGCAGTGCGATCATGCTGAAGACAAGGAGCGTCCAGTCCATCTGCGCATCATGTCGTCTCAATATTGCAATTTCACGCGCCCGTAGCGCACGACTACCGTTGAGCATTCAATCCGCACCGCTACAAGTCCGATCGGCCGCCTCACGAGGCTTCGCGTCACAGCGAGCATTTTCGACAACACCTGCGAAGAAAGATTTGGACCGAGAAACCAAGGAAGATTTCGCGCCTTCTGAGAATGTACCTCCTTCTCCAACCGAAGCACTGCATTACGAAGTCAACGCGCGGAGGGCGAGACAGCAATTTGGAGATATCTTGCCTAGGGACCATCTAAGTGCGGAAGAATACACGGTCTACGAGAGACTTTACGGAGAGCCCGTTTTTATCGACCCAGTAGAAGAAAACCAGGGACTTGACACGGTAGCTGAGGAAGAAATTATCCAAGAAGAACGGCCTGATGGCACTCCAGTTTTATTAAGGAGGACAAAAGATGGTGAGCTGGAGGAGCTCGAGATTGTCGCTGAGAACGACGCTCTCGAAGAGGAAGATCCAGAGGCTGCTGAGATGGCCGACGAGACCATGACACCAGAGGAGTGGGAGGCACGCAGAGAGGAAGAATTGCAGACATACCACGATGACGTCTATGAGCAGAGTCGACTACAACATGAGGAAGCTGAGGCTTGGGAGGACATAGAAGAGTTACAGGAGGACGACGATTTCATGCGCGCCCATCCTCTGACTATTGCTGGCCGCTTCAAGCCGTCACCTTCAACCGTGTTCTTGCCCAAGGAAACCCTGGTAGACCCCACTGCTCTTCTCCTGACCCGCGCCAATCACAAGCACCTTGCCGAATCTGCGAACCGAATTTTTGGCGGACGGGGTCTGCCCAACTCGGCCAGTACGGCTCCAGCACGCTTGGGCAACGAACAAAAACCCATTCCACTTGACCCTTCACAATCGGATATGGGCAACATTGAAGCTGATGTATACATGGCATCCGTCCAGCCAGGAACATATGCGAGTGTTATGAGTGCTATGGTCGAGATCCGACGGCGTCTTGGGACTGGATGGTTGGCGCATATGCTGCAGAATAAGAAGGGTGGTACCATCCTAGATGCTGGTTCAGGAGGTGTCGGTGTGCTCGCGTGGCATGAGATGCTTGAGGCGGAATGGCAGCGCATGCACGAGGAATCGGGTAACACTTCGTATGGTGCTACCCCGCTGGGCAAAGCGACCGTTCTGACAGCGTCCGACACACTTCGCCACCGCGCAAGCAAGCTATTGGAAAATACGACATTCATCCCTCGACTTCCGGAGACTGTGACACCCGAAGACGAAGCCAACACACAACAGCCACGGAAATTCTACGATGTTATCATTGCCCCACACACGCTTTGGCCTTTGCGGCAAGAATATCTGCGCAAAGAACAGGTTGAGAAATACTGGTCTTTGCTCAACCCCAAGGGCGGTGTTTTGATTCTCATTGAAAAGGGTCTGCCGCGAGGATTCGAAGTCGTTGCTGGTGCTCGCGCTTATCTACTGGACAAGCACATTGCCTCACCTGGCTCAGAAACTACGGAGCGATCCGTCGAGTCTCAAGTGTCGCATCCAGACGAAGAGACCAGGTTCACTCAAAAAGAGGTTGGCATGATTGTTGCACCGTGCACTAACCACAGTACATGCCCCATGTACCAGTCTACCGGTGTTTCTCAAGGACGCAAGGATTTCTGTTTCTTCAGTCAGCGTTACATTCGACCACCATACCTTCAACGTATTCTGAATGCCAAAGACAAGAACCATGAAGACGTCCAGTTCAGCTACCTCGCTGTCCAACGTGGACGCGACCAGCGTCTCCCTCAGCACGACATCCTCGGCAAGGGTTTCGTTCAAGGAGAATCGGCAACGGCAGCTGCGTTTGAAGGTCACGAATGGAAGGCTTCAGACGAGGACCCAGACCTAGCAACAGAGGAGCCCACATTGATATCAACAGCCGACATAAATCCACTTACACTTCCTCGACTCATCTTGCCCGCCCTCAAGCGACGAGGCCATATTATATTGGATGTGTGCACACCAGCTGGCACACTAGAACGCTGGACAGTTCCCCGATCCTTTAGCAAGCAGGCCTTCCGTGATGCACGAAAAGCGCGATGGGGCGACTTGTGGGCTCTTGGCGCAAAGACGCGCATCCCACGTAGTGTGCGTCTGGGACGTCCAAGTGACGAGTTCGACAAGAAGGGCAGAAAGGTCAAGAAGGCCAAGCAGGTTACTATTGAGATTGGCATTGGCGAAAAGGATGGCAGGACGGTTGAAGAAGGACCTGCTAAGGTCCTGGGCAAAGGAGGAAGAATGTTGGTCGGAGACCGTGATGGACGATATACCAGCGATCGAAAGATTCGAGGAAGCAAGGGTAGGAAAGGTAGGAAGAAGCAGATTGGCCAAGACTATGATGTTTTGGACGACATGTAAAGATATGATGTATGAGCTTTATGATGTACTACTACTCTATTACTCGAGTCCTAGTCGACTTCAATCTTACTTCTAGAGATTTCCACAGCAATCTCACCCATCAAACTTGACATGGCCTTTTCCTTTTACAAACGTAGCCAGCCAAGGCACCTCGTTTGTGCGTTGCACCAGCTGAGCATAGAAGTCGCCGTGAGCGGGCCCATCAACAACATTACCCATTGGACTGCCATCCGGCTGTCTCTGATCAGCGTAGAAGAAACTAATTCACCATCTCATCAGCCCTATGCTTTTCCCAAACCACCGCATAAGTGAGGAGAAGAAGAAGAAGAAGAAGAAGAAGAAGAAGAAGAAGAAGAAGAAGAAGAAAAAAGAATCAAATAAAACTCACCGATACCCCTCCCCCTTGTGTATCTCATCCGCAAGCCCAACCCAATACGCACTCGCACTCTTGCCCACACCCAACGTCACCAATGCATCCACGGGCAAAATTGTCCGATTCAACATATTCCCTGTAAAGATGAACGTCTTATCGCCCCCTTCCTCCTTGCCCATTTCTTTCCACCCCTTCACCGCCTCTTGCGCCGCCACATACGGACTCACAGCATTAACATTCAGGTCCGCGACAAACCTATCTACAGGGACTGAGGTTACGACACCGGCGTCGGCGGGGGGCGTCAAGGTGGCGGCGTTGTAGACGACGACACTGGGGTAGGCGTGGAGGTCGGTGTGGATGCGGGTGAAGAGTGGGGGGATGCTGGAGGGGTTGGTGAAGTCGGCGGTTAGAGAGAGGGTTTCTGAAGAGGGAGAGGTGGTGGTGGTGGTGCTGCTGCTGCTGCGGGAGGCGGTGGCGATGCAGTAGCCGAGGGAAGAGAGGGAGGAGGCGATTGCGGTGCCGGCGTTGGGACCTGCGCCGAGGATGAGGGCGATGGGTTTGGGGGACATGGTTGGGGAGTCCAGTGGTGTTTGATATTTGATGATACGGTTTGTATGTTACTTTGTATACACAGTGGGGTTGGCATTTGGCTTAAGTATGTCGTTGGTGGTATAGTCATGGCTGAGTATTCGATTGCCATGTCCGCAGCTCGTCCGATTTTTCACCTTCTCCTTTGAATACTCCTCTTGACATTTCTAGTAAACCTATCCCCAGATCGTCTGATAATTCAAGGTTCCCCAGGGCGCTCGGTCTGTTGAGCGCGTAGACTAATACAAATGCGGAAAGAGGATGATGGTAACATTGCATGCTGGGCAGTCATGTTTGGTCCGGAAGTTGTGGAGAAAAGCCAGATAAGCCTCTCTCTGTGGGCGTACATGCTTAGCCAATCTTATGCCTGCTTGGTAACAAGATGGCGTTTCCCTGGTTGAACATATCCAATCCCAATGGAATTTAACCAAACGATATTAGTAAGCCGATTCACCCACATGGTCTGAACAAAGGCAGACAATCAAAAGTGTAGATGGTGTTTATTAAACAATTGCTAAACGTGGTCTATATACATCCGAAGCCCCCAAGCCAAAATCTAGTCAAAATCCTCGGTTTCCCTATAATCCATACATAGTAAAGGGGTATATATTTCTCCTAATTAGCAGTTTTTGTGAACACCAGTGAAAGTGCTGCGCCTAAAAAAGACAAGCGTGTCAGCGCCCAATCGCGCTGAGGATGCACCCATATAATTCGCTCATCCGACGCCGTGCGATGCAAAAAGAACAAAGGGAATCATGCGGAAAAAACGAAAGGCATGTTGCTCAAATGACCAGTCCGACACCGAGACTGATGGGGTTCAGGCTAGCCTCGCGGCTCTCTATGCTGGGCCGTCTCTTGCCAATGGTGTCCAACTGGCGGGCTGCATCTGCCGTCATGGGCGCCTTGCCAGTTGGTGAGGGCGGGCCTGATGGACCCGTCTCATCGGTGTTTGACTTTGAGTTGATAGGGGCGAGATCTTCGCCAAATGAAATAGACGTTATGGAATCATCGCTAATACCCCGGACTGGGGAGCTTGGTCGTTCCGGTACAACGGTTGCAGGCGCTGTTTCGTCTGCAACTGGTGCGGGCGGAGCTTGGCTTGCGCTGGTGTGAGACGGCCTCCTGGTCTTGGGAAAACCATGTGCGTCATAGCGCGGTGGATGGGCGGTGTACTCAACAAGCATATGAGCCTTTACGCTGATGCGGAAACGCTGACCCTTGGCAAAAACAACATCGCTTACCCGCGGCGACGAAGCGAGCAGTACCGGTGCACAACGGCGACGGTAGCGCATCATTTGCGCAGGCGAGGGTGGAGGCAGAGGTGTCGACTTGGGGTCGGATCCGTTCTCGGATTGCTCGTCATCGGCCTGGTCCTGGTCTTGGGAAGAGACACGCGCCAGAGATTGTCTTGCCTCTCGTGTAGGGAAGCGAACATCTTCTGGATCAAAATCGTCAATCTCGGCATCGGCAGATGGAGATGAGCGGCTTGTGCTTGGTTCGCGGTTTCCTGCTAGGTTGGGGTAGAGTTGTCGCATAATCTGCTCCTGTTCTGCAATGAGGCGACGGCCAGCTTCCATACTCGACAAACCCTCGAGGTTTTCTCCGACCTGTGCAGCATCCAAGACTCGCTGTCTGCGACTCCTTCGGGGCAAACTTCTGTAGCGAGGCTCGCTGCGGTCCTCTAGCGGGGCGCTAATATCAATGGCAGCACAGAATGATTCTACCCAGTCGAGCATGCTTTCCTCGGATTGGGGGCACAGCAAGAATTGTTCAAACTCGAGGCGCAGTCTGATGGGGTGTTCTCTTACGGGCTCAAAGAGTTGTGGGTCCGACTCATATAGCTTGGGACGAGCTGCAACAGGCACCAAGTGAACGAAGGGAGATTTTGGCACCAAAGCCGATTTCTTGACATCAGAGGCGACGCCAACCTCGGCATGCTGCAGAGAAAACGTCTTGAGCAAACGGCCCGGCGAGGCGTTCCTATTTTTGCTGAGGAGGTGCGGGTTCTTGATGCGATAGAGGCTTAACTGAGTGCCGCGGAGGATGGCGTAGACATCTGTCCACTCGCGGTGACCTGAGACTTGAAAGGGCGACGACAGTTCCTGTTTGATACCCACGATGCCCTCGATGTCGACGGTGCAAGTGTAGGGCGGTGGAAGAGGGGTGGCGCGGACAGCATCTTGCTCTGCTTTTGTTCGGGCTTGGAGCCTTCGCATAGTCTGGGGGTCAATGGCACAGGCATACGAGGGCGGGGAGCCAAGGGGCAGCTGGGCGTGTGTATGGTGAGTATTATGGTATCCATACGTGGCAGCGGCGCCAGAGTTTGCCGAGCGGGTACGCGTGGTTCGACTTCGCGACATGGTGTCGGTGGCAGCTGGGTCCATAGGAAGAGGAAGCCAGGATTGCGGGTCTGGGGAAGGGGGGGGGGGTGATGTGTGTTTGGACACACGGGAGCGCGGTCAGCAATGGGCAGGGCGGATATTTATTTTAGACGTCTCAGCCGGACGGGAAGAAGCAAGAAACAGAGAGGGTTGGTGTGTTCAGTCGAGGCGAGCCAGGCGTGTTTGGTGTCTCTGGGAGGTGCGACAGGGGTAGTGTGGGCGTAAAATGAGCGACGCGGATGGGGCGTCTGGCGTCTGGGTGAGTTCCGAAGAAAGAGCGCTCGCATGGGCAGCAGGTTGGGGAGGGAGAATGGGGGCGACGCATTGGCAGCAGCGCGTCTTCTTTAACAGATCAACGAGCAGCGAGGGCTGGGAACGAGTCCGGGCTGGGCCAGGCAGGATGTGGGACGGCGTCCATGGGCGTGGGAGGGGCGGCGGCGGCGTGATAGAGTTAAGTAGGGATGGCCATCACTGGGTGCTATCAGGCGGCCCTGCAGGAGTTTTGCCGTGCAGACCATGTTCCAGATCTCGGTTGCAGGCCACGCCCGGCTGCTGACTCAGGCCCCAGCACGCCCCGGCAGGCCCCAGCACGCTAACCACACCAACCCGTCTCTGCTGCCATCTGCTAGGCCGCCGACTATCCAGCGCTGGCTGAGCCCGTGGCTGCAATGGACGAGTCTTGATTGCCATGCCAATGCCACGGACGGTGCCAGTGCCACGCTCTGCCCGGCTGTCCATGACTTCATCGCCCGGCGCCACCAGCCAAAAAGCCATACGGACGGACTCGGGCTCGGCACAACGACAGCCCTGTCGTTCCTGCTGTTGTTATCCTCTGTTTGTTTGCGTCCCCAATCCGGCCATGTATTATGTACAGTGCATTCGCATAACTAGTTGATTATACTTAGATATTCATGTATCCATGTCTCTCCTTCACCTCCACCTATTTACCCCGCGTCAGTCAGACGACTCCTCTAGCACATGCACGCCTGCACCACGCACGTCTGGCTGGCAGCTGCACTATACTCTTCACGGCTCACCTCCCTAGACAGCATCCCATAACTAGCCGCCTTGATTATGACATGCTACATTACTACGCAAACACACTCTCCCAGCTGCGTGTAAGCAGCGTAAGCCCGCCCTCGTACTCAAGCCTCGACATCAACATGCTGCACTGTGTTTGGTGGCACAAGCCCCTTAGCCACAGCGCCGCCCGTGACATGTTTATTTTGACTCCCAAAAAAGAAGCCCCCCCCCCCCTCACATCAGCCGTGTGCGCGCAAGATAGCCATCAAAACTATTGCTTCTTGTCGCGGCCGACGCCCACTGCCTTTGCAGCCATGGATGCATGCATGCATGTATGCATGCTAGCTAGACGCGCCATGTAGCCATGTCTTCTCCTCCTCTACGGTCATGCATCCATAGCCACGCGCGTGTTCCCACAGATGACACGGCTTGGTCCATGGTCCTGCCACTTCAGCCCTCTGCCGCCGCTGGGTGAATCAACCCGTTGTGCATCCATCAGCGCTATACACTGTCTCACCGCTCGCGCTCCTGCCGCCATAGCCCAGCCGTTGCTCCGCTCCTGCTCCTGCTCCTGCTCCTGCTCCGCCGCTGCCATCGTCATCTTTGCATCCAAAAATCTGACTTTTGAAACACTGACAGCTCAGCAATCTGAGATAACAAGCCTGCCATGCTGAGAGGTCGCGCCACAACGACACCCGCCCACCTGTCTCGTCAGCACCGACTCGGCCTTGTCGACGATCCTCAGCGCACAAATGTTTTAGTTTACGAGCTGAGCGGGGTGCCGGGTGAGCCTAATAACCCGACTGCATGCAGATCGCACAAAGGCCCTATTTCAACCACCACATCATTGGCACCGTTACTCAACTCCGACCGCCCAAGAAAATGCCCATGCAATCATTCGTCGCCCTCTGGAAATTCGTCGAGGGGGCCGTGCGTCCACTAGCCACCGCTCAACACGGGGGCCACTTCGGATCTCCATCGTCAAACTCTTAAAACATCGCCCTTCTGGTCCACACCCAACAAGAAGAAAAATCCCATCCACCTCACCTGTACAACTGACTCTGGTGCATCTCCCTCAAAAGTGGACACAGAACCACTAGAAACAACCTGCATACGCTATCTACAGACCCACTCCCAAGCTGCGGCAAGAACCCAGATTACTTTAGGTTCCCACTGTTCCTGCAGCTGCCTCTTGCCCACCCCACCGGTCCGCCGACCCAGAACATTCGCAATCGCCCGTTTGGAATCTTCTTTGTAGATCAACGGTACGGTTGTGTATCGCCTCATAGTGGAGCCATCTTGCCGTTTTTTTTTGATGCATGAGGTATACCTGTTTGAGCAGCGAGAAAAATTAATCCCTCACGATATGCATTTGCTGGCCACGCCACTCTGCAGCAGGATTCGCGGGCTATACCCCTCAGCGGAAACGCAAAGTTTGCGATATGACTGCATTCTAGAGTAAGAATTAGAATACGAAAAAAAAATTGTGATGACAAAAAATAGTTAGTACTTATCTGACAGACGATTAAATCGGCAAGTTCCATAAGTCCGCGGAAACCATGGTCACTCCGAACTGCTTCAATCAGGAAACTATATACGTACGCACACTACGTCCATCCATTCTTGACCCATGCACGTCATCTTTCCCATCTCCAGTCATGCTACTTACGGCACTTTGCACACAAAGTATAGAAAAAGCAATCTAGTTCACACTCCAGAATAACACGCCCACAAAATCTGCGTCTTGTGCAAAGTCCTTTATGATTCGTTGAGAGTACTACCCAAAAATACACTTAGTCATGAGTCACTTCAATGATTGGCAAAATAAACATGTAACACACACACAAGCTTACGTCTCTCCAATCACTCTCGAAAATGTTGTACATAGGTACACACGGTTACCACCGCCCATTCACCCATGTACTCTCAAAAAAAATAGCACGCACATTGCCATCTTGCAGCTCGAAAACAAAGAATACAGAAATCTCTAATCGCTCAATCAGTCAACATATCTGCATCTGCATGCGCCATCACCTTTGCTTTTCCTACCTCACCCCAAGCCCATTCAACCCAAATAATGAAACACAAAGACAAAACAAGCAAAACAAGCAACGCCTGCCCAAAAATACTCCCCGGAACAATGACTACACCATAACATGCAAAATGATGAAAGCGGTAGAGCCAAAAAACAGGAATAGATCCACTCTGCTCAGATTTGAGGAACAAAGAAAAGAACCAAAAAAAATAAGGGCCGAACCGGAGTCGAACCGGTGACTTCGGGAAGGCGGTTTTTGGGAGAACTGCAGTCCTACACTCTACCACTGAGTTACCGGCCCAGTGAAGATAACAATTCCTCAAATTTCAATCAATATATACTACAACTGATAGTCGTCTGGAAGAGGATGCGATGAAAGTCCAAGGCAATGGTCGTGTTTACCCCGCGCATCATCCTTCCTCGGTACATATTACTGCTTACTCTCTATGTAATCACACTCTGACTAGAGACGCCTTATTACCCTATATTCGCAACCATTCAAGTAGCCAAATGAGTTATGAGCATCTGCCCAGAAACATTCTTCTTATACATTTTTGTACAGTAATATACATAGCTCGCTATCGTATAGTACAAGTTTGCTGCCATTGTATTCATACACTGTCATCTTCCTATCCTTGCCTCACACTTTGACCACCCTGTCTTTACACCAAAAAAATGCCATCTTACTCCCACCGCGTCTCCTTCTTAAGCGGCTTCTCCCAATCCTTGATGTGATCAGAAATAACCTTGGCAGCTTGGTCAGCTGTAAAGTTGCGGCCGATAGCTTCGACGAAGTCGCCTTCTGGATCTATAATCACGAGTTAGCATCCCATCATGTTGATATCCTTCTTTGTCACCAACTACATACCCATGAGATAAAAGTAGATGCTGTGATCGACCAGATAGTCTTGTCCAGGCTTGACGTTATTCGGTGTGCTAAAGTACACCCTGTACGCCTTGCACGTGCTCTTGATTTGCTCGTAGTCGCCCGTCAAACCAATAAAGTCCGGGTGGAACTCGGCTAGGTATTCCTTCAGTACTTTGGGGTTGTCGCGCGCGGGATCGCATGTAATCATGATGGGTAGGAGGACGTTGCCGCATTCCGCGACGACCTTGTCGTACATGAGGGCCATCTTGTCGAGTTCGTCGGGGCAAATGTCCGGGCAGTGGGTGAAGCCGAAGTAGACCTAGAGGGGACTCAATTAATACACCTTTTCCAAGGTTCGTAGAGCAATTGACATACTAATGAGTATTTCCCGAGCATGTCCTCGTTGCTGAATGGATTCCCGTTTTGATCTACTAGCTGGAATGGTCCACCAACTTTGGGCTTGCCTATGCCTTTGGTCTGCTCTGCTATCCGCTTCCGTGCCAGGCGCTCCTTCTCGTACGTGAAATAGGCCCATAGTCCTCCGCCAGCTGCGATGAAGAGGATGGCGGCTGTGAGGTTGAATGGCTGGACACATGTCAACTATTGAACATCCAAGTAATTCCAATATCGGTTGACAATCCTTCTGGAAAGGAATATCCAACATACCCCGCCCTTGTTCCGTGCTCGAATCTGGTCAATTGTCTTGAGCTTGCTTCGCGATGCCGATTGTGAGAACGTTCGTGCCTGCTCGCCCAAGCTGCCCGCAGTCTTCCCCGCGCTGGTCTGTATCCTTTGCAATTCCCTCAGACATGTGGTTTTCGGCGTGGTGGCATTCCGTGAATATGCCAGCGCATTCGTTGTGCTCGAAGCAAAGGCTCGTTGCGGGACGGTCGCAATGGGTGAGCTTTTGAAGTTCTTAGCGGCCGTGGCCAAGCATCTACTCGGAGTGGACATCGTAGTCGCAATGTCGAATGGACTTTGGTGTTGTGGCGGGGCGTAGCGGACGTTTGATGCGGGATACTTTTCGCAATTCGAGATGGAAGATTAGTGCACGGGCCAGTCTCGAATGACATCGCCGACCAAAATCCATGCACTACTAGTGGGGAATGACAATTCGACGTTTTCGAACCAACAAAAGTACGGTTCGCAGATATATCTTGGAAACTACCAACGCTAGCGATTTGTTTATGCATTGAACATCAGTAGAAATAAAGTCTTCGCATTGCATCAATAGCCAGAAATGAGAGCCATGGCAGCTCACAAGTTATTTAAGAGAACACCAAGATGGCCAACTTGGACACGAATTCGTTATACAAATTGTATTGTACTTCCTATTACAATTGTCTATCTTTAACAACACACCAGAACCCGATGATTGGGCTCATCGTGAGGAGACTCGGGCAAAGAGAGTATCAAAATCAGCCTCAACTGTATTCTAACAATACGATACGATCTAATAGAGAATGCGATGACCATTGTTAGTATTAATCCTTCGAGCGTTGCTGACGTGTCTGATATTTCTTTCTCGAAGTTCTGTCTCATTACCAAACATTTCCATAAGCGGCACTTGCGTCATATCAAAGAAGTACTTCAAGAGTGTATAGTCGGAACCCCATTTGTCATCGAACTTGCCTGGAGCAACCCCTGAGCGGCCATGCGGCTGGATCATAGAAGCTAGATGGTTTACCCCTATCAACACGCACCTCAACACGCGCCAACGTGCGATGTTTCTGTTTGGAGATGTTTCTGCCAACCAAGACCGTGCACCCTTCACCCAAGTCGTTCTCTTTGTCGGTGCATGCTCGTAGTTAAAAACAGCACTACTTTGCGCCCAATCATATGGTACACCTCTGTTATAGCTGACCCCTTTTCATGTTCAGGCTAACATGTTTGTGCGTTCGTGTTATAATGATGAGCAGTGTATGCAAATAGCTGGTCGACTAGGCATTTACCCATTTGCAGTCACAAAACTAGTCTATGAATCTTCTCTACTAATCGTCCATGAACTATGAAAATAAGCACCCTATAAGCAGTATACTAAGAATTAAGAGCGACAGGATTTTAACCTAAAATGAAAGAGCGGTGCGTAAGATCAAAGCGGGAAACGTTTCAGTCATTCGATTGATTCATTGGTGAACGTGCCACAACATGCCCAGTGATCCTATTTGAGTTTCAATAGCTAGCACGTCCGCAGATTACTTGCCAATTCACTAGATTATGCTCCTCTCTGTGAGTAACTGACGTCTGTATGGTTCAATTATGCTAGAATAATACGTTTAACGTTTCAGTCCAATAGGCCATATAGCTGGCTACTATGTGTTCGCACGTATGAATTCACTTATATTATTGGCCTAAATACAACAAGATCCAGAGAAGACCATCAAAGCCATTACTGAGATCCGAGGCGGGTTCCACGTGTTTCAAAGCAGCCATCAAGAATTCGTCCACACTTGATTGTATTTGTATAATATCCTAGACTACTCAAACATTTCACCTGAAAAGTCGATATCAAGACTGCTTTCCGCACCTTCTTACTCCTGCCTCTGTTCTAACCTAATGACTGTATATTTAGACACATTCACTGCAGAAACATCTGCCAGTATCGTAACCGTAGCTAGTCAAACCCGCATCCCACCATCCAGCATGGTACCACCCGCATTTCTCTGTGATGTAACTGCTCGTCTGAGCACGTCGACTCGCAGTGCATTGGACCGAGTTGATAGCACGGTTGCAAAAGAATGCAACGGTATTGCCACGAACAGAGTAGTAGTTGTGGCGGCCCTTGGTCGGTCCATAATTGCTGCACTGGTAATCCAGATCAGCGTTTGCGGCATCAGTGTCCTAGAATGAGTTAGTTACTAGCTTTTCGTAGTGAATTCTAAGAGTACTGACGCCATGATGCATGTTTGCTTTGTCAGGGCCCTGGTTGCAAAAAGCGCCATCGCGGGCCTGAAGGCGTGAAGCGCGAATGGAATTCACTCTCTTGGTATAAACGCTCAATTCTGTGGCAGAGAAGTCCGTGGCGTTGCCAATCTTGACGTGGACATCAACACCATTGGCATTGACATGGTGCTCGTAGACACCATCTCCAGTACCCTCGGGAATGATGAAAGCACTAGAAGCGCTAAGGAAAGCAAGAAGGAGAGTGCTCTTGAACTGCATTGCGTAAAGAAATGAAAACAAAGTTGATTGATCTTGATGCTTGTAGTCTCTGTCTTTGTGGTGGTAATGATGCGAGAGAGGCACCTTCTTTTATACTTTCTCTCTACCCTTCAATGAGCCATTTCTCCATGGAATGCTCGCCTATATTTTTCGGACCTTGGCAAAGAAAACGTTCTTGTGATAATTCCATGAGCCTAGGCTCAAGAAGGGAAATGCACTTCTCAGTAGCACGATTAGGCCTGCTGCATATGAGACTAAGCCTTATGACCATACCTGGTACTTTACTAACAATGCAGGTGAAATTTGAGGCAGATCATGGATAAGCACTATCAGGAAGCACGATCAGGCGTGCTGCATGAATATAGTGCCAACGGGTATCGTGATGTAGGTCACGCTATTGGCTGAACTCAGGTTTTAGTCAGTAAGCCAACACGCTACACCAACTCTAGCAATGGTATTATGTACATTCAGTCGTTACCAGCTGCTTGGTGAATCTCCTCCGGGACGCATGGTACGAACCGTTCAGCAAACTCAAAATTTGCATGAACAAGTAGTCAACGTCACATTTTTGGAGTCTATGTAGTGAAGCTTCAGTACCAAGTTTTTGATTACTTCTCAATTCGTGACTTACATCTGCATATAGTATTTCAAGAATGTGGCGTGTCAGCGCACCGTATAGGATCGCAACCCTGTTACTATCCCGGATTTCTTGGCTAGAAGCGGCAGATACGCGAATGACAAGCCGCTAATCCTACCTGCCTAAGATGGCTGCGACAGGCGCAGCTGAATAGACAAGGAATATCATATATTATCACTGCGAGTGTATGTAGGTGTGATGAGCGCCTGAGAAAACCAGGAAAGGCCTCAAGCAGCGAGTACCTGGGTGAAGCAGCGCTAGGATCTGCAAGTATTCTTTGAAAACTCACGATATAGACTTAGTCGAATGATATGAGTTGGAGCTATAGGCATAGATAAAGAGTTATCGCTCTTGTTTCCAATTCCAGGTTTCAACTTAGTATGGATAGTATGACGCCTGTCTCGTCTATATTGTATACATTCTCTGGGTGTGCAATCCCCCAGTATACGCGCACAACAAATATAATTAGACGTAGCCAACTCCAAATACATATGCTCCCCCTATCAGAAAATCCATATTCACCTTGTTATCTCCGAGCCTGATTTGCACAGCACCTTCGTGGCACACTAAGCTTCCCCTCGCGTAGCACCAACCTCGAGTCCTTGTCGTTCTGAATTCTTGTAGAGTAACTTGTATGAGCTTTAGAACCTCCCTTGAGACCTGTAAAGTCATTAACCCTGTGCACGCGGTGAGGTGCGATTTCATACGGGGCTGCGAGGTGACCCCGCGCGTCTCACCTTTTACACATTACTAAACAGCGAAATCGCTCTCATATCCATTGTCGAGATCTCCACCATACCGATCAGTTGTGAAGTTTCCACCATGGTGCTCGTTACAATGCCTCCGAAACGCAGCATCGGTTTTGAACTTGATCTTGTAATCTTTGCAGTCCCCAAACCCGCATTTGCGATGCTTAACACTCAAAATGTGATTAAGCTCATTACCATTGTAGCAACCGTGCAAACCACAGTTTTTTTTGAAGACTTTGTCATGGTGTGCTTGCCCAGCGTTGCTAATGACATCGACGAGGCAGCCTTGGTGCTTGCAATGTTGAACCATCGTGAGACAAGGAACTGGCCGTATCAGGAATGATGTAGAAAGAAAGGCTTAACCGCCAACCCTTCTCTCACAATATTTAAGGATTCAGCATGACTGCCTTACTAGAAGTTTATTGGTGGGATCTAGATATCCTGTTTGCTATGTGGCAAAAGTTAATTGGTTGAGCAGCTCTAAGATAGTAAAATTAGGGGAAGATAAAAGATCAAAGATTGTACTCGAAGACTATCTTAGCTATGTAGCTGTTGTTGGCATTGTGGAGGGAGAAAATAGTGTTGGTGTTCCGCTACGGCGGTTATTCCGTTACGAGTGGATGAACGTTACTGACCATGATATGTTGGGATATTTTCTTACAGAACTTGTTTAGTACCTTGATGCCCATCTCGTAGTCCCTGCTGAGGCTTCTATGGGTTCGGATTGCATTGAATGGGTTTACCAATAACAGATTGTTCAAGGAGACATTGAAGTGCAGGCAAAGACTCCCGACGCTACCTACTTCTCCGGCTATATGACACTGCCACAGAAGGTAACGTCTTACCTGTCACTGTACATTGTCCACTTGGGCAAAGGCGCATCTCAATGTAGAGAATCAAATGTCTTGGATCATTCGATCCCACACTTGTAGATAGAGAGAAAATTGCTGTAAAATACAAGGGTACATCTGAACAAACGTCTGGGGAACTCATATGCATTTACTTCTAATCTTCACATAAAGTATCCTATTGAATTTTCTGCCTCGCTATAAAGTTAGAGGTGGTAAAGCTCCACCACCTCTCTCAAACTCCCTACTGCCTTAAGGACTTATGGTAAGCTTCTTTTCTCTGGAACAGTTTTTATAGGAGCCTCAAAGCCCCTTCTGCTATCTCTTTGGAAGTTTTGGTGAATTTTGGAGTTATTGTGCAGCCCTACGAGCTGCGATACTCGGGACCTTTTTAGAATCCTCCTGCTCCTTCTCCTGCTTTGCCAAGCTTGCTGAAGCCCTTGCCTGGCACCTCAGATCCTTCTCCTCCACCTTCAACAGCCTCTCCTGCGCACGCTCCCTCATTGTTTTAGCTCTTTGGTGTCGTAGCTGTTCCTACTCTTCCTGCTGGAGTCATAGGCTATCATTCGCCTCTTTTACTTTGGAGACCCCAAGACAGAATCACCGTGATACACCTCAGTTTGTTGTAGGAGCAGAAGCCTCCCTCGTTTCCTGCGCGTTCTCTCATTAACCAAGGCATCCTTCATTAGTGTACATTGAACTCAGTCCGAGTAGAAGTTGCTACTCAGCATTATATATCGCCTGACGTGGCTTCAAGGGAAAGTGCTATTAGCTTACGAAAATACTTTGTATTTCTTATAAAGAGATCCAAACTATGACTTGAATATACCGCTCGAGCTTAAACTCTACATAAAACTACAGAGAACTCCATACAACGATAAAATTCTAGACGGACATATAGTAACTCTCTAATTGCAACACACACAACTAGCATCAACTATGCAACGCTGTTATTCGGTTAGTGAAAGTACCAATGAAGGATACAAATCTTTGTATAAAACATACTCCAAGGATCTTAGGACAGCTGCAGACAACAGGTTGGGAGGCTGGTGGAGGTGGTGGGATTGATGGAGCTTGTGTGACCAGAGCTTGACGAGCTTCAAGTGTATCTTGCACTTTGCCCAGATAAAATCGGTTGTCTAGCTTAGTTGGGGTGCTTATCACCAGTGCAGTGAAGGCTAAGGGTAGAGTAAAAAAAAGCTTCATCTTGATAATGCGTAAAATATTGTAGAAGAGAGTTGTTGTGAACTATTTGTGAATTGATAAGTGAAGTGAGAGACATAAAGCGCTTTATACAGTACTAGCTCAAAAGTCTGTTCCCCCGAGCGCACGGGCCACGATCACCACTTTTTCCCATAACTTCAACCCCGTGCAGCTCCACCAAACCACGTCCAAAATTAATTTTGAAATAATCAAATTAAAGCTATTAATCTTAATATTTTGTTTGATAACCATGTGCAGTGCGCACGGCGTCGAGGCGTCGCGGCATACTCGAGATCAGTTTGGTAATCAAAGAATCAGGTATGGCAGACCAGGCCTCTCGCAACCCATTTTCAAACTGATCCCACTCCCTTTCTGTGTCGCCCATGTAGTCAAACTCGGGGTGCAGCTCATGGAGTTTCTTTTTGAGTGCCCACCAGAGGTGTTCGATGGGGTTGAGATCCGGAGAAAAGGGGGGCCAGTCAATAGTCTCAATGTTGTGATTCCTGAACCAAGTTTTGGAGACACGAGCAGTATGGATAGGTGCATTA